CATTCCAAAGTCAAGTTAGAACACGAACAAAAGCTATGTGGCTTAATACACCAGGACACCATGAACCCAGAGGAACGACGTTTCATGGTCACCATGGATATTTTTCTGTCCGTGGCGACTTCAAAGTATTAAATAGTACAAGATTCAGTTTCATCGCTGCTATTCAAGTAATTATGAATCGCGAGTAATGGTGTTAATTGGTTGAAACGTAAAGGGTTAAGGGTCCACGTCGAAGGTCGTACCACTTAGGGGCAAGGAGAACATGATGGAAGAGGAGGAAGAACCCGTTTTTCGATGGTGGCCACCGAAACCCTTTCACCACGCCCAAGGAACATGGTCATGAATTCAGAATGGCCGACCTGGTACCATTTAAAATTTTTTTCTCAAATGATTACGATACTTTATTGAAATCATATTCTTGCGCCACTTTTTTAATTTACGGAAGCACAGAAAAATATTCAAATTTAAAAGAGTAATTAAAAAAGTGCAACACGAAAGGCACCTAATTAATTTGTACACTTTATATTTGTCTCTTAAACGCATTCTTATATTTCCAACATGAATAAAAGGCTAACGAATCAGACTTAAACTTTGTATAATAGCAAAATTCTTATACGTTCAATTAATTAGTTATTATAAATAAATTTTTTTAAAGTTTTGATAACATAATTGATTTATGTAGCATGATTCTAATTTAAATGTTCTTAAGAAATAATAAAGAATAGGTGGTGTTTAAATGAAATGAAAGGATATAAGCGGATGTATGGTCAATGGCCATCATAGATTCGTTTTGATGTCAAACGGAGGAGCTACGCATAATTTGATAAATTTAGCTACCAGGCTAATATGTTTGGCGTGGAGCATGCCCCTCTTCCTGCCTTTTATGCAAGCAAATTTATTCTAATTAAATCAAATTAGATGCACCCCTCCCCACTTTTCTCTTTCTCTTTCTCCGTTTTCATCTTGCTTTCACTAACGTTACAACGCACTATTCAGTCTGTTGTGTTATTTTATAGGGAATACCGGTATACATATAATATAGAGTATATAGTTGTGACAGGAAAAGAGTTGCATTTTCTGTATGCACTATTCACATTAACGTCCCTATTTTCCTTCATCCAGATGAGCAATAGTGAAGAAACACCATAGATGACGCCATGATTACCAGGACACCATCACCACACAGAAAGAGTCTGTACGGTATCAATGGGGAAACTCGAACAAAGTTTGTTTAAGAAAAATAATCATAACTTCTGGAAAAGATATATGCATATACATATTTATCCTCTTTCTAAAGCGAATGGATTCAAACGTTTTCATTTATAAACCAGGCTGGTATATTTAATGAAATGGATTAACATCTAATCGAGTATTAGGAGTTTAGAAAGTTGGCGTAAGTATAGAAGAAAATTTGTCTAACCTCGTCGGACAAACTGTTGACCGTTCTACTTTTGGGGATGTTTCATTAGGAAATTATGAAGCAAAGATACGAGAAATTAGAGTGTGGACCTTTGTCCCGTATGCATTGTACGAGTTATGACCAAATACATACTTAGTTTGTATTATTCTCTGGATATAAGAAACAGGGGCAAAAAGGGATACTACGCACGCATCGACTGATCCCCTAGTTTTACACGAGCTTGAGGTAGCCTGGGGTCCACCGCACGCACCTGCCTAGGAATGTTCCAGTTTTTGGTGAACTTTTATCAGGAAACCATGGAACAAACCGGATGAAAGAAATTCATATGAAGGGTTGTTTCTTTTTTCAAAACTCGCCCGTTGTATCTGGTTTTTTTAAACGAGCATTTTTCCATCAGGAAACCATGAGACTGGTAACGTGGAAAGGAAAGCAGCTGGGAAAATCTTTATTCCCCTCTAAGCTTTTCTTCTTTCTACCACGCGCACGAGCTCTACATTGCTTGCCTTTCGACTAGGGTTTCAGGAGAACACGGAAGTCCGGAAAGTTCCGGTTGGAAATACGGAAAATCGCGGAAAATTGGCAGACGGAAAGTCACCGATCGGGAAAACATAAACGGTGGAAAACGTGAACGATTTTCCTACGGTGAAACTCCGTGGACTTGCTTCGTCTCTCAGAATGAAAATATTCTTCAATGGTGAATTAATCTTGGGAAATATCGTTATTATTATGGTGTTGTAATGTTGAAAAGTTTGGCATGGAGCATGTTTCTGTACTTATAACGAATGTTCCTCGAAATGATACCTGTATTTGTTTGCTTTTCGCTTATTTTTCAATCAGGGTAACATGTACTTGTAGTAACTCTGTAATTCGAAATGATATCTGCAAGAATAGGCTAACATGAGCGAAGGAAAATTTCCAGTCCCGTGGAATCTATTGCAGTGGCTGTTTTTTGGAAAATTAGCACTGCTGTTAGATTATATTAGAAAGAAAATTGCTTTTAGTATGGCAGTGAATGTATTAAGCCGCGCAACGGTGCGTATTCACTTAGCTTCATTTACGAGCGGGAGGTAACGCGTTAATTGCTTCTGAGGAATTTATAGGGGTACCAAGTAGCAAGGGAGCAAAAAGGTCACAGAGAAATTAAGGGAGAAGTGACCGTTTAATGGGTGCGCCAATTATCTCCAACTTGGCTATTGGGACCACAGTAAAATGCTGGAGGTGGACTTTTCTTGATGAGTTCTTGATGAATTCTTTTAATTAAGGAAAGGTATTGTACTTATAACATACACAAGTGAGACGGTGGACCATGGAGAAAGCCATAATTTTATTTTCTATATTGTATAAAATTTATAAATTATAATTTCAAAGAGAATCTTACATTGTCTATTATTTCAGCCGTCCAGTTTCATTTAAATTCATGGCACTCACTCTCTTCGACCATTTGAAGTCAGTAGTCCAACAAAAGTGAAAGAGCTTCCCGAAGGACAAGTGTATTAGGATTCTATGTTGTTTCTAAGTTTTCTAAGCCCTTTCTAAGCCAAGCAAACGATAAGGTTAGTGACATTCGAGTAGCCTGGCGAACGGAAAGCAGGATCTTCAGAAGGTACGATAAACCGAATTCAAATAAATCAACTATATCCTCTAACTGGAATCTAATAGGATAAGGTGCTTAGAAGTTTGCTTGCACAAAGCGGAGATTAAAAAAAGATGAGCGACAAAGCCACAAAATATTAGAGCACCAGAAAGACGAGAAATTGGGTGATGGACGAAAATCGTCTTAGAAAAAAGTGAAAGCCAATTACTGGTTCTTCTAATGCCAGGAGTTCAGAAAATCTAAGAAGATTTGGCCCATGGAAAATTCTAAAATGTCTCCCGTGATTTTCTAGCAGCTGAGAAAATTCTATTTGCAGATAATTAATATTTTGAAAGCTACTGCCAAGCATTTGTAAGTTTTATGTTTAATTGTTAAGAATGAATGGTTATTTAAGTTTTATCCAGAGGTAAAAAATGTACTAAATTAAAATAAGGGACTTCAATTTTTAAAGACAAATTTTTTTGTATGAAAACGACGATGAAAAAAAGAGTTTCGTTAACGACGATCGGTGGAATAGGATATTAGAAAAGGCTGGTTAGTAATACAGGAATGGTTGAAATTCTGTGACACGATTTATGGAACATGTTGAATGTCCATGAGCCAATTAACATGCCCTCGAGGGTTAGGAAAGCAGAAAAGATCCGAAGGTACGTTTCTGAAGGAACTTTCAAACCTGTTTCAAATTTTAAACCTGCGAATCTATTTTAGATTTGAATACCTTCCCACCCTTCGGTGAATTTAAGAAGTGGCACAAGAATATAACAATGATAACGATAATTTCAGTAATTACTGTCAATTTTTAAAAATAAATCTTGAATGAAAGAAAGAAAAGGCACGGAAATAACACAGTACACCTAATATTTTTACGTGTAATTAGAAGTGTTCAAAGTAAAAATATTCTTTTCAATCCCTCATACATAATGTAAGATACAACGAAACATAAAGCTGAGAATTTCACACGAACCTTGTAGGTTTACGTCAGAAGAAAAGTGAAAGCTTATTATGGTGTCTTTAGAAGCAGGGCAACAGGAAAATCACAGAGGTACTTTCCAAAAGTGCCTTTGGCCCTGATCTTAAGGGCTCAGTTCGTGCAACAAAGTTTTACAAGAAGCTATTTCTTCCACGTGCTAACTTACACATTATCCTGGAATGTAAGTTTTTCTTCTTATCACAGCAAAATTTAAAAACAAGTTACTTTAAAATTATAAATTTTTTACTTTTCATAATTAATGTTGCATTTGTTGCTAGAATTAAAATTTATATAAAAAAAACTATTTGTCAATTTTAATAGATAATAATTAATTTAACTAAAGAACAGCTTAACTTCACAAACCATATGAATTATAAATAAATATTTTTTGCATATAAATAAAAGTAAGAGTCATAATTAATTTTCCACGAATACATTGCTGACCAATCCCACGTGAATAGCATTGAAGAGATTGAGAACACATGGGATCGCTACATGGATTTCACTATACTACTGCAGCTGTTTCCCATGGTCTTGGGACCCATTGTAAGAGGAAGCTTATAAATAGGACCCAGAGGCCCTGTTCCCTTCAGTCGCTTTCCAACAACCGTCCTGTTCGTATCGTTTCTTTCGTTTCTTTACTATTAAATCTCGCGTTATTATAAATTTACTATTAATAAATAAACCAAAATTATTTCCCTTGCAATTATTAATTATAGTGGATCTCTTTGTTTGTTATATTATTTTTAGTGTTTCCCTTGACATAACGAGTGATCTTGAAATCTGTTTTCGAAAATACGGAATCGAGTGTAGTGATTCATTTAATTCTAAGCGTTAGAAAAATTTGAGAAACGATACTAAGCAATTTCGATGTTGAACTGTGAATTATGATCAATTTCTTGATGATTTATCCTTAATTAGTGTGTGAATTCATGCTGATTCACTGTTTATTACGATATCGCAGTTTATGATGTTGTTACTAATGGTACTAATAATAGGGAAGAATGATCACTTACCGGACGGATGATTGGACTGCAGATTGTAATCATCAACCTGTAGAGTGCTGTTTGCCCCTGTTCTAGTGAATCTGACGACGTGATATTGATTATCATTCACTTTCACACCGGCCTCACCAATAGGATGATCGTTCGTTCCCATGTTGTAAACGGCGAACACGTTTCCTTCCACCTGCAACATTATTAGCAGGATTTTATTAAAAACCATTCGGTGCTAGGCAATAGGGTTGGACTTAAGCGTGTCTGCCACCGCGGGCAAGATTTCTTTTCGAGCCTTCTCTCCTAATTATTCAATGATAAAATATGCATATACAAATTTTCAGACTCGAAGATGGTGCATATTTTATTACGCGTTCTTAAAAATAAAATTTCTAGCGCCCTTGGGTGTTTAGAATTTTGTGAAATTCCAAGTCCAATGGAAATTATTTTATTGAGCTATTTTTCAGATCACTATTTTTCTGATCTGTAGGCGTTTAATAGCTTATTATAAATATTTCGTTTATAACATCGTTGTACATTTGTTTTAATACACCGATAGACTGGCATAGATCGATTCGTCTGTTTATTCTAAGTAAAAAAGTATTAGGATAGCGTGGCAAACGAATGAGTAATTCTCGAGATATCTTAAAAAATGCTGTTACTGAAGAAGATGCTGAAACTATGAAAATGTTAATTGTACATGCACTGTTTGCACTTTAAAAAATCTAAGGCCCTACAAATGCAGTGCTCTTCGAGTCATTTATCCTTCTCCTTTAGCATTTTTCTGTGAATGCATTAATAACAGAGTTATGACCCTGTATATCTTCTTTTCTTATGTATCTAATTACAAATTCTATAGTACATTACATTAAACAGTGTTCATTTCCTCTTTAGTTAAAATAGATTAAAATAGCCTAAGAACTATTACTTTACATATCTTTGATTTTACTCATCAAATGGCTTTGTTATTGATAATACTAACAAAATATATAAAATTAATGTTTGTACCTACATATAATAAATTTTAATTTTACATTATACATACATTCTATTCAATCGTTTTTCATATAAATAATATATTTAAATCAGGACTTGGAATTTCACATATGTAATTCACATTCACTACGAATGAGCAATATCTAATTAATATATACTACAGACAAATACAATTTATAAGTTTTCCTACTTTGATAAATTGTATTTAGTTATGTGATTTATTAAATAAAGCTATATAAGTTAAAAAAGATCCTTACATGCCAAAATATTATCATATATTACTATCTTCTCTTACTAAATTATTTTTAGATATAGTTTAATAATTTTATGATTTAATTCGGGAATTTGGTAATTTGCTAATTTGGAATTCTGATAATTTAATAATTTGGTCACTTAATTTAGTAATTAGGAATTTTCTTCCAAATTTGTTAATGAAATTATATTAAACAATTTCCTAACCTAATCACCATTATTCAAAATCACATTTCACAATTTTTGAACAATTTCTTTCAGGGTCTTTTTCAACTTATCTCATTACTTATAAATTCAAATAATTCTTTTGATTACTAACAATTTCAATTTCGAGATAATCGTCGCTTGAAGCAGATTCTATTCTGAGAAGCACAGCATCGTTGACACTTGTAACGAAACCCAGGGCCACTGTGTCCCTTTTCATTTCCGGTCTTCGATCTGGGGGAAAGGTGTACGTAATGATTCCTCTTCCGGCTCCGAATTCATACGCTACAGCTTCTGTAACAAAGTAATGGTAAATTATTACTAACGGAATATTAATTACTAATGTGAGAGCCGAAAGTTGAGGGTAAATCAAGGAAGAAAGATACTTTTTATATTTTACTTTCCGAATTCATAAAAGTACGGGAAAATATTCAAATTCAAAATAGTAGTTAAAGGGTAAGCTAGCATTAAAATAAAGCTAGATTATTCAGCTTTATTATGTGTTAAACAATATAGGTCAAATATGTTACTATTATATAAATCCCTACGATTTTTGATTATGAATAATGAAAAGCAATAAATCAGATACGCTTTGTAGATATATTTATCACGAATCTGGTAACCACTATGGTTACTTTCACATTTTTCGTCATTTGCATGCAAACTTTAAGTAATAATAATCTGCATGTTGATGCGAAGGGCTGATAAAAGTTGATAATGAAACTTTGTTGCATTAATATAAATTTCGATGAAAAAATATGCAAATATTGGAAGAAATATTAATCATTATAGATTTAATCAGCTACAAAGTAGAATAATAAATGATGCTTATATTTTCTGCAACAATATTGTGATAATTATTAATTAAAAATATTTTATCTTTATTTCCAACGATAATACTTATATCAGAATAAGTTTCTCTAATGACTAATTAAAAATTAGAATTTTTTAATTGAAACTTTTAATTGGAAACGTTAAGCAAAGTGTTTTATTATTAAACAAAAATAAAATGTATAAGGTGGCTCATTTTGATCTATTCGTAAATGCAGAAACTTAATAATATATTTATATTCACCTTCGTTACACGTTGGTCCGATGAAACTAGTCATATCGCAATCACAGGTGTAACTGTTCCATTGTTGCACACATGTGCCATGGTTTGAGCACAAATCATGGGTACATTTCTTTCCAGGATGAAGGTTAGTGAACATGTTACATCCAGATTCCACTAAGGAACTTGGTACAACAGCGTCGGAAATCAGATTGGTGCTTTCGCCGCTGAGATCCAGCGAGGCGAGACAACCTTCGAAACCGTGTCTGCTGAGTATTTGTTTTGGTAGATGGCCATATTGTGATTTCTCCACACCCCCTGTAATAATATACTATCGGTTATATGTATCTTTTCAAAAAACACAATAAGAAATAAATTGTTATCGTGCACAATGTTAAACGATATTCGAAAAATATTACAGGTCGTGAGAAGATAAAATAATATTTAACCGAGGTTTTAAAAGATTGAAATGTGAACTTATCGTGAGAAGTAAAATGTTATTTTACACTCGATTACATTCGATTAGACTCGAGGAAAAGTAATACATGAAAGCCTTGAATTTTTATAGCCTCGCTTTTCTTATCCTATCTATGTATATCCTTTGTGTCGGAATTGTTTGTTCATATTATAAGTAATTCTTCAATTGTTATTTTACTTGTTTCTCACGTTTTTATTGCTCATCCATGAGTTAAATAATCGTTTTATAATACCATTTAGCGACCAATATTCTTATCTTTTGATAATATTGATACAATCATGTATTTTATAGATCCATTGATTACTATGTTTATAATACTGCTCTGATAAAATTATCTGCACATATGCGAATAAATTCATGTACCTAAATAAAAAAAAAATCCAAATCTTTCTGATTTATCTCAATCAAATAACCCACAAACTTCTAATCTTCACTACCTAGAACCATATCCTTCTTCCTGTCTACGCGATAAATGCTTGAAATTCGCGAAAACTTATTCTCATGGTCAATAAAACCAACAAAATGTGTCACATGAAACCTCGTAAAACCATTCGGGAGAAACGATATCCCCGAGTTTATGTATTTTAATCATCGTTGATCGTGGAAAGAACGCTTATCACCGGCGGCAGTGGTTCTTTTTATCGAATCGTTTTATCATCACATGGCGTTCGTCTTCGTCGAATTAAAAAGCGTGAAAATGGACGAAGTGGGGAATTTGCTACAAGGTGACATAAAATTGCTTATAAATCTAATCTGGTTCGCGGAAGAGGAGTGCGGTTAACAGCCGGATACGCGTTTCATCTGTACTCGCTAAGCTGAGTTGCGAACGACAGTCGTTCATCGCAGATCCTTCAGTTAACTCGTTCTTTAAACGATCACTGGTTAGTAGTGTATTTCACTCATTGAATATTGTGTATGCATTCATCTTTCTTCTTTTCATTTATCTATGTAATAAGTGTTGTATCGTTGAGCCAGTGATTATTGTGCTTTTTTAAATAAAATTAACTAAATTAGTTAACGTCCCTTTTTAAATGTTTTATCTCCAATTTTATAACTTTCATAGTAAGAAATGCAAAGGAGTAATTTTGTTCATTTAAAGTCATACTTTTCCAGTTACCAAAATTTCAGAGACCCCGAAAAATAAAAGTGTTCATTTATTTATTTACAGTAGTAATCAAAAAGGATTTATCTTCGAAACCTACAATGCCACATTTGGCCACCCTTATTTTCGCTCTCTTCATCCTACAATCTGCAACAGCTGTCCAGAGTAGGACACATCGTTCGCCGGAAATAGACGGATTACCATATCCTCATAATCTACCAGAAAGTCTAAGAATCGTCCCTCATGAAATGTCACCAATAATTGAGTACAAAGTAGCAGGTCCTAATAATAACTTGGGAATGGCTTCTTATCAGTCATCGCAGCCAAATATCGAGGACAGAGAGCCATCCACTGATCATCTGGCAAATCGTGTGCCAGATAGTTGGAGGGTCATCCCACGTCAAATGGAACCACCAAGGATTGAAATGCAATTGATAAAAGAACATGTACCAAAAACCGGCGCAAACTGGGTCAGCCTTGAATATACATTTTCGGATAATTATGGAAATTCCGAACCGATATCGGAGCTTCGAAATAATGCTAACGGAAACGATGGACATAAAGTATCTCAAAGTGAAAACAGTCGTAAAAAAACCAGTAGCTTGGGACTTGGTTCTAGAACAATCGTCAACGTCCCTTTTAGACCGTGTCCACCCGGTCAGAGAAGGAACTACAAGGGAGTCTGTACAAAAGTTTATTAGGCCAATATCCAAAAACAAATTTACTTTTTTTTATGAAATAAATTAATTCACAAAATACATAATGTCTTCTCTTCATTTCTGACTCAATATTATCATTGATATGTATTTATTTATTCAATGACTCCCTGTTCGCGTTATTACGATATATATTCGTCGATCATGAATTCCCAGACCTTATCTCAAAGTTCAGTCTATTGATAAAAGCAATCATTGCTTCCTATTTACAAATTGATAGGCGATTTTCATGTTTCGTGTTTATTAAATTAAATTAAATTAAATATTTTACGTTATAATAATAGTGTAATTTTGTTCCATGTATATACCTAATTAGCAATGAGAGGTTGCGTGCGGTGCCAATTAATTAATTACCACAAAGCATAGTCATTACTCGGTATGAAGTAATACGTAATGACGGAATCTTCCATTTCTGACGCATCATAAGTAACACGATAAAAATCAATGAAATGTTATGAGAACACTAAAAGATTATACTGCCGTTCTGTAGAATTAGCTCAATTGTCTAAATTAACATTTCGAAATAGTTATACGACATCTCTTGTCGTATGAGTCAGGTTGGAGGTTGGTAATATTTTGATTTAAAGAAATAGAAATTGACTGTTATTGCAACATATATACGATAAATGTTTCGAACTCGTAAATAAATATCCCTCTATCTTGAAAACCTTTTGCCAAACAAACCTATTCGCGACCATAATAAAAGCAGCGAAATGTGACTCGCGAAGGCTTATAAAACTATTCGTGGGGAACGACGTTCACGAGTTCGTGAATTCTAATCGATATGGATCGTGGTCAGTTATCAAGAATGACGATCGTTCGTTTTATAGTGTTAAAAACACGAAAGTGGAAAGTGGATGGGGAGTGAGTTTCAAGGCGACAGAAAACTGTTTATAAATCTAATGCGGTTTGTAGAACCCTACAGTTAAAAGTTTTCAGCTTGTGCTCGTCCATGTTAATTCTTTTTTTCTTCTGTTAGTCTTTCGGTTAGTTTCTAATTATTGGCGTATCTAGGACATATTTATGGGGCAGAGGAAATATATAGAATTTGATAATTTGAGAATTTAGAATTTAAGAACTTTAGAATCTTAGAATTCTAAAATGCAATAGTAATTTTCTTATTTATTCACAGAACACACGTAAGAATTATTCTCAGAAGCTAAGAGTTCAACATATCTATTCATCGGCTTGGACTCATCGTGAATAATCAAATCCTTATCCAGTCACGATGAAGAGCTCATTGATTGGCATGTCACGATTGACCAACGTTCTTCTGATTCTCCTTCTAATGCAATTTTCGATTAGCATCGAAGGTAGAAATCGTCGATCAGCAGAAGTTGACGATAGAATGGCAGAAGCTATGAATTTACCAGAGGGTCTCAGGATTGTTCCTCGTGGAGGGCCACCAAAGATCGTAGACAGAAACGCTGCTAATCTCGCTAATTATTTTGGTATTGACTCTAGAGACATTATCCGGGTACCTCCACGAGCATGCCCTGAAGGTCAACAACTAGACTATCAGAAAATATGTAGGGAGGTTGTGACGTCGAAAGGTGGTTCAGATTTTTAGAACTTCATTTACTTCATTTGTTATTTAGAGAAATACACTTCACCATTTGAATTTTTTGTCCACATCTAATAATTTATCAAATATTCAATAAAATATTTAATCATAACTTTTAAAGCTGTTTTTATCTTTCCAACATAGACGATTATCGATAAAAAAAAATATGATAAATGTATCTTTGTTTCATTTTTATATTTTATTTTACGTGTTTATTTTTATTTTTTTATTTCCTATATTTTCAGATTAGTTTGTTTGATTTTTGAAATAAATTTTAACACGTATGATCGATGACTTCATTTTCGCGTTATTACGGAATGCTCGCCGACTTTCAATTCTCAGACCTTATCTCGGAATTCGATGTATCGATAAAACCAATTCGACTGATTTATCGTTTCGTACTTTTCGAAATTTCTTCATGATACATAAAGCAATATTTTCTCTTCAAAGTATCGACGCGTTTCTAGCCTCGCGGCGAAGGTTTTTTGCTTGATTTAAATAAGTATTACCTGGACAATGGAACTTCAACTATAAATCAAATCCCATTGCTAATTTTCAAAATCTTAATCTTAAAAGACATTAATATTTAAAATAATTTAGAATAGGTTACTATAATATTCAATTTTATATTACTTTATCATTCTGTTCCATTTTTCTCTAAATATCTAAATCTATGTTAATTTTCAATAGAATTTACTTACCAATACACAAGATTCCATCGAGATCAAGATTCTCATTACTGCCTTGACTGTTCACAACAGTGACGTGGTCATCAACAGCGAGCGTGTGTCTCTTAGGCGCTGGCCTTCCTATACTGACAGCATGCCATTTTCCATCGTTCAATCGGGATCTCGAACTGTCCCTGACCCTGACAGGACCATCACCCAGGTCGAATACATAGTGGACGTGGCCGTTCACCAATTCTACGGCGATGAAGTCACGTTCTCGACCAGCGTTGAAGAGAATCAAGCCGTTTGCTTCGCGTGTTTTAAACTGAAAGATGACGAACAATAGCTCAGTAATGATTAAATTAATATTCCTCCTATTTTTTTTTATAAAATTTTATCTGATTTTCATTTGGAATTTCGGTTATCGAAATGAATTTAATTTCTATTTATTAACTCTTCAAAGCGTAGGAGCGGAAGTATGTACGATCAAAAGATAGCGGAAATCCGTCAATTATCGGACAACGTAATTACGAAGGTGATGGTTAGAAAAGGTTCCCTGTCACTTGATATGGAAGAATCCTATGGAATGGATTGGGTTTCTATACGTGACACGTGCCACGATTGATCCAGAGTTTGTGCATCGAATCGAGCACCGCTCTAATTGGGCTAACCTTTTTGTGGGTACGCGTCACCGTTGACATTTCATTTCTTCTATGGCCTTCGAAATTCCGAAATGTCGACCAAACTCGACCACCTCCCAAGTTTGCAGAATATTTAACCTCGTTTTGAAATTCAACCGAATTTCATCCATTAAGGACAAATGTAATATAATAATAATAATTTTTATAATTAACAGAAAAAAAAAGAAAAAAAAAAAGAAAAAAAAGAAAAAATAATCCAATTTAATTGTGTACACGACGTGTACAGAAATGTACTCTAATTAAATTTACGTTTGCTCCTTTATATGATATATTGTAAAATTAAATTGCTTATGTTTTCTTGGTAAAATTAATTACCTGGAAGTAGATGTTTGTTTCCACATACGCTTTCAACACAGGTAATCCAACAAACGTGTGTTTCGACGTGAAAGTCACCGGATAATGTACTGGATGGTTCCTTTTACCAAACTTCCCTGTTACTCTGATGATAGGTGTGACACCTTGATGAGAAGCTTGGTGATTCCCGGAGCTCCTTGCTATTTCCAGATAGGGGTACCCATTGAACCAAATTTGCTGTAGTTGGCCAACGAAATGGGGTATCTCTTCTCCAGCATGTAAATAGCCACCCACGTGAAGAGTACGAAATTCCAGGATACTTTGATTGCTAAGCTGCGTTTCAGCTGTTATACATAAAACAATAAACATTTTATGAAACTGTCAATTTTTATTGTCTTCTCGTGCCTTTAATTATTGCTATAATAATGAAAATTTCAAAATACAGGAGTTGTACATATTCTGATAACTAAATGGAAACGAAAGGAGATTAAGACAAAAGTGATTAATAAGAATCCAGTCTCATAACCAGCCACGGACCAGTGTACTTTCGCAAGTTGAACGAAACTCGAGCGGAAGTTACAGCAGAACTATTTTAATTATTAGCCCGTCGGAGATTGTTCCCTTATCCGGTGAGAACAATGAAAGCTCGATATCGGTGCATTGTTCTTTGCGAGAATCTTACGGCTATCGACGCCATTAAGCTTAATTGTCCCCGGACACAATGCAGTGAACTTTGTAAATTAGTAACGTCACGTAAGTATCGACAGCCGTTGCTAATAAATGTACCAAGTTTCCTTTAAAGCCTCTTGAGACCGGTGGTGAGAAAGCGTGATCGTTCATTACTATAATTCCTTGATAAAATATTCACATTCTGCATAAACGAGACGAAGACGAAGTATCTCGATATTTTAGACATTTTGAAAGACGTTGATCATCACAGAATGATCAGAATTTCCCTAATTATTCTCCGGCAAGATAGAAAAATAATGACGAATGTAGCAGAGCAAATTTCTCAATTTACATAATCACACACCGGTGCAACTGGCTGTGTCTTGTTCTCGAAATTCATCGGTCGACGTGTTAAATCGAATTCAATTCTCGAGTAATTTCGTAGCTGCGGTTCCGGTGTCTCGATTCGATCAAACGATAAGCATTCTCCGAGTTATAATCAAATTCTCACCGTCGAACGACAAGTTACCGATGCAACACCGTTTCGCCAGCCAGCAAATTCGATGAATTTCAGGAAATCTCACAATCAGCGAAACTCTCAATGGAAATTTACAAGAATCTTCGTCTGTATTTGATCAATATCTGCGGTTTGTTCGTTGCCGATTTAGGATTCGATTTAACATCCCGCCAGATTGACCCACGATCGGTTCCATCGATTGGTCGTTAATCAAGGCAACCCTTAACAGATCACAACCAGCTGCCTGGTATTGTAATTTCCAGCATGAACTATGTTATGTTTGTCACTTGTCAACATCTACTGCATCACTAACTTCACGCTTTGAATTTGCATAAAATTGTATATTAATTTGAAATTTAATAATGAAAAGAAAATGGTTGATCAAAGTTACCAGTTTGTTATATACTATATACAATACTTTCAATGAAAAATTCTTTAGACATGATTAAAGAAAAAACTTTGTTTGATTAAATTTTTACGTTCTTCGAAGTCTACAACGTATTCCAGTTACCTTGTAAGTTATGAAACTTTCTCTGGTCAAAGCGGAAGTAATTCTACCTCTTCAGAACTGAAATTATCCTTCGCGATGAATCAGAATTTCTACCCCCTGCTTAATGAAGTAATTTGCACTGCTCAAAGAACGTCTATGGGTGAGTTTTCGAATGTATGTACATATCGTTTGAGAGATGTGAGAGATTGAGGTTTATCTGTTAGTATTATTAATTAAATGCACCTTCTATACTTTTCACGAGGTGCTTTGATATCTTCCACTCTAATATTTAATCTCCATTCAAATTTATAGGTAAATGAAATGAAGATATTATTAATTATTGTTTTTTATATAGAGAAAGGCTAAAAATAAAAATGTAAAAAATAAATTACATGCAATATAAAATTTTCATTTTTAAAATCTTCTAAAGAAAAAACAAATTTCCATGCAAATCCTGCTTGAATAAAAAAGAGGAAATGAAATATTTTAGTAATTAGATTTTTTAATGAAATATTCTGCAATTTTATTTAGCCCAAATGAAACATTTTGGAAATGAGATTTTTAAATGAAATATCCTAAAATGCACGTAGTCTCAAAATTGTTTAGCCTTTTAGTCTGTAGGCTTGAACAGATTCACCCATAAAATAAGCAAGTAGCAGGTTCTTATTCAGCATCAAAGTATAGAATATGGAACCATGTTGTGGTATAGGTTCCTTTGCCAAGTCGAGTTGACACCATCGTCGCATCTTGGAAGCAATGAAGTCGAAGGATGTGTGGTGCACTTAGCCGCGCAGTACCTAATTATCGTACGATCGCGATCGATGCGATGGACCACCGTATAAGCGAAGACCATACTGGAGCTTATGGCGATGCTGGCTGGTCAAGCAATTTAGGGTATTGCCACGTAACTCAATATTGCTGGCACTCGGCCACCGTCCATTTAATAGGCTGATCTGCTGTGCGGACCGGCACAAGCTTCGGGTGTCTTGCTTTATCGAAAGGCTACCGATGCTTTGCCGCGAACGTGCTTCTACTTGACAATAGCCACAGGCACTATTTTAGAATCGTACTTTATCGACTGCGACCTTTCTGGGTTAATTCCAACTAATTAGAAGATATTTCACTTGATTTTTATTGATACATGAAATTTTCAAGCAATTTCGAGATCAACAAGAAGAATATCAAAGACTAAAACCATTAAAACCTGTCTGAAACGTCCTCTAAAAGAGCCCCACATCTAATAATTCCTTTTACATTGAAAACTACAAGCAAAACTTTCCAATAAGAAGAAGAAGAAGAAGAAGAAGAAGAAGAAAGTCACCAGTCAGATCCGAATATAATTTCGAGAGTTTCTCGAGTAGAATTCGATATTCAGGGAACGTGAAATTCGACGGAGGTGGTACGGTTCCTAGGGCGATTATTTATGAAAAAGGACACGCCGCGCCGCGCCGCGCCGTCGCACTTCTTTCTGGCCGTACCGTTACAGCGGTGTAAAAGGAAAGAACGACAAATGGTATGGGCAAAATAAAAATGGTGTGGGCACGGATGTTTCGACGACGTCAGGAATTCTAGAGGCACGGTTGGCCGATCGATCCTTCGCACGATTTCGAATGCACCTCTCGCTGCATTTCAAGGAACCGGCCGCGATAAAGAGCGCATTTGCATGCCAGCGATTTGCGATTCGGCTCGTGGAGAATGGCAGGCCTGCTGGCACAAGCCGACGGAGAAATTTCTTCCAGCCCGCGAAATCGACAGATATTTGTCCGTACTGGATTATGAAACTTCCGTGAGCCCCTTAGTTGATAAACTTGGTTTAAAAATTGAAATCTACTTTAAATAAAATTACTGGAATGATATGATTCCCTATTTAATTGGTAGCCATTGACTATTGGAAAAGATAAATACGAATAATTTGTTCTATTTTAATAAATGACATGAAATTCAATTAATTTATTTAAAATAATACTAAAATGTTACCAATGAAGAAAACGATCATTTGTTCCTTTGGGAACAGTAGAAATCAATAGCTACTTTTCTTCTTTTCTTCACTATTGGTCTGAGAATTCTCCCACACGATTTCACACTTTATCCAACCCCTTTCCTTCTCTATTTTCTAAAGATTAACGATCTCGCTTCCCTTAGAATTTATTTCGAGTATATAAATCAGCTCGTCGTATTCCCTTGAAAATAGCGCTAATGGTTGAAAAAAATGATTAATTAATGATTCGTGGTCTACACACAAATATTGAAAATATAATTCAACTGATTTGATGAAACGAAATCCTCTTCTATGAGGTAAAGTAAATAAAATTGATACATCATCGAAAATTAATTTGAACGTGATTCGCTAATGCACGATGAACAATGGTTAACGAAAAGTGCTCGCGAAGTTGCATTTCCGAGAGCTTGTCGATAATTTACAAGCGCCGAACTTAATATCTCGCCAACCTGTCAAACCGTAAATTATTATCGAAAATATCGGCTGTCCGGAGGAGTTTTCGTTGTACTCTTCTTCAAGAATTTTCCACAGGAGTTAGTGACATTTTTCGGCTATCAAGCGCCTGAATAGTTAACGATAATTGACGGGAGAAGTTGGGAAAGATTGATCAAACAACACTTGTTGTTTAGACTTCGGTTTTACTTCCTTTTGAAAATTTTTTATTTGGAAAGAATTTTAGTCGAAGCATTCGGCAAATGGAAAGGAAAATGTTAAATAGCATTATCATTATACTAATATTAAGAACTTAAAAATAAAATAATTGTATCCATTTTCACTATAGTAGTCCATGCATTAATGCATGTCTGACCAAACACCGACTTTTCCACTTTGGCATTCAACGAGCTATACTACTGAAATAACTAAATGCTTAATTATCAACATAATTATGCTAAATTGAAAATTAAAACTTTTTTATAATTCCGATGGGTTTGAGAAAAGTTTAAACTAGGTATTAAATTTAAACTAGGAATTAAAAAAGAAAATAAATTGAATTGAAAATGCTCCATTTCGTAAAATTCTTTTCCGAATACTGTTCACATGATCAAACTTTATATTTCAATTGCAATTTTATATTGGCTTCTACTTTCAGTATATTTCGAGGCAAGTCATATAACGTATACACCACCACCTAAAACTGCTATTCACGTTGTTCGAGCGTAGAAAACTGATCCTCTCGGAAACGCGTGATTTAACTGGCCCCTCTCGTTCGCTAGCCCTGGTACTTCATAATGGAAATGGAACTGTCGATAATTTCCAAGAAATATGATACACTAGAAATGATACAAGAGAAGCGGAAAATTATTTTCTAACCAATTCTAGCAATTTCTTTCGTTTCCTGTTCCTTTAAAATTCTTTCTCTTATTCTTTCGTTCTCGAGATTTACTTTCCACATTTTATCCTGTCCCCGGTTACTTTCACAGCGAACGCATTGTCCTTCCATCTCTCCGGGCTTGAACGCAGAATTCCTAGCGGAATTGCTCTGTTCACGTCGGCTGTTCCTTGAATATTTATGCTAAACAGGGATTTTGAAATACGATATTCTAGCGGAGAAAACGAAACGATGCTCGAGGTTGACTCAAAAAGAAAATAAGAGGCCAGCAGAAACAATATACATTTTTAATCATACTCTCATCCTATTTACCCTCAGTTAACACGTTGTATGTCCTTTTTAAGAGACTAGAACTACAAAAACAGCCTTTTTCTATTTTTTCAAGAATTAAAATTATTTGGTTCAATTTTTAAAAAAATTATTTCAATTTAAAAAGTTCAACCATTGCACGAAATTTCCTAGAAAATTAGCAACGTTGAAACGTAGCTGCAACAACGTAGCCAATATTAAAAGTAATTCCAATTGGAAACTGAGAAAATAGAAAAAGCAATAGAATTCAATAAGGGCGAGGAGCTTCCTGAAATTCTGCTACACACTTTGTCGATGCAAATGAAATGAGACGACGTTAGAAACACAGGAATAGTGGTATGGAGTATACGACTGGGTAAATTGTGTGTCTGTAGCAGACCTAAAATGGTTAGTTGCCTTCGCGACGTTGCGTCGACGACAATTGCACAGGGTAAATGGGGAAGCAGGTTTGTTAGCTACGTTCATTCGAGTGCCTCTTGTTGTTAACGAACACTTAATTATGAGTCAATTTCAACAAATTTCATTATTTCCAATATCTCTGATAAATTGCCTCTAATTTTTTCAATTTATGATTTATATTTCCTTTTATAATTTTTATTTATTTTTGAAGTAAGAATAATCTCTGCTATACAAAATGTAAGTATTAGAACCCCCTTTTAATCTCGAAATATGAAATTCTATTGTAAAGATATCTACGTATACCTATGTGTGCGTTTATCGATGGATGAAATTCGAAAAAGCTATTGAATCGGTCAGGGTAAAAAATATTTTCACTATTGGCTGGCTGGTCGGAGGCGGACGAGCTCGAATTTGAACGGAAACGAGCCTCTTTTTGTATTCGTAGCTGGGTGGGAATTGAAAAGCGCCAACGAGATCACTGGTGTGTGACAAGATACCTCGCGCGAATGCCACAAAAAGGGAACTACGTAATGGCGAGATGGACAAGGGAAGCTTGATGCAAATTGACGCTGCTTGTATTGTTCTCCATCGGAGAGTTTCATATACGACACTGGTAAATTTCGAAAATAATTCAACTTCTGCTTGACGACGATTTACGAAATTAATTTTATGTTAAATTATTCATTCACGAAGTTACCTGCCATGCACCTGTTTCTGATTTCGTACAAATCTACATGCATTTATAATAATTTTAGTATTTCGTTCACTTACATCGTACAGAAGGCTCGTCGTCGATTTGAAACTTCAGAGACCCCGCTCTCCTAGAAAACCTCAGGGTGTGCCACATATCATCGTTCAACCCTTGTCCAGCAACCAGCACCTGGAAACATAGGAGATAAAAATAAAATTTCAAATTATTTACACAAGTGTACGGAGTAGATACAGAGGAAGGACAACGCGCGTGGAATTTCCGTGTTAATTTTCCGCTTACCGGTTGCCTTGAAACGAGATTGATTGCGCGTTGCAGGATGCAACCGTCTCAAACACGCCGCGGAAATTTGCGCGGCGCGGCGCGGCGCAATGAAAATGCCTGAAGCGGAAATGCGCCGATTAAATTACGTCGCGCAGATGCAATAATGGATACTTGAGCGCGAGCAATTAGCGCGAGGCGACCGATACCGGTGTACCTGCCATTAGGGAAACACAACGAGGCCACTTTCGGCTTCGCTCTCTGCTCTCTAATCAAGACTTGTGCTTATGCTACTAGAGACTTTTCATTTATTATACCTTTATCGAAAAATATCAAAGCATTTCAGGAAGTAAGAAAACATTTTTGATTAAATTTGTATAAAAGTTTATAAAGTGATCTGATACCAGATCAATAAAAATTCCTTGTAATAATTAGCGAATTACAAAGAATCATTTGATATGAAAGCAACAATTTCAATCCCAGGAAATCTCTGACGATCAATGCAAATTCACTTTCGGTCTCATGTATTTTCATCAGCAGAGAGGTCGAAATGTATGCACGTGCCATGCCATGCCATGAATGACGTTCGTGCCAGGAGGTCTTGATACGCGTATAGTTAACCATAGCGGAAGTATGGTAGTAGTATCGATATACTAACGGCACACGGTGCCTCTCGTTTGGTTAAACCACCATAAATCCGGTCAACTCGTCACTATCTGCTAACTGGTTTGGTCCACGCTGTCAGCCGTGATATTCATCTATCACATGCCTTCTGACACGCGTTTGTCACCTGATGTCACCTTCCCACCACCTTTATCGTTCCTCCTTTTGATATTAAAACGTTATTTTCGTTTTAAATAATTTCTGATCCACTATCTTAAATTGAATTTCTTGCACGGAGGCATAGAAATACCTTGATTGTTTTCGCAAACGTATCATTTATTCGAAGTAATGTAATGACGAATGAGAAAACGATCTACGAAATGGTTAAGATGAGGAGAAAAAGCACTCTTACCGCGAGTCCAAGTGAAATTACATAGAAAGTCTATCAGTAAGCGGATATTACGGTTCCCCGGGGAACTTTATCGCCGACTCACGCTCGGATAATCTCGCGCGTCTCTGAAGCGTTACCTACGAATCAATCCGGCAATTAAGGGACGTTTTGTCGCTGTGCTCGAGCTCGATCGGGCTTTATCGAATTCATCAGGAGCGGGTGTGCTCCGTCGCAGGAAATCGCAGCTGCATAAAGCGTTCAATCGCACCACGCCGCGGGATAACGTTATCGATTGTCAGATGTTGAGTCCTTTTGCCTCGTTTTTGCCAAGTATAATTGTTAAGATAGGTTGATATTAATTTCTCCATCGAAATAAAGTTATTTAATTGCTTCTCCCTTATCCTCCTTTTTCGCGTGTCAACGTCGCGTCGCGTCGGTGGCTAGCTTTTTCTCGATGGAAGAAACAAACGCGTCCCGTTTCCTCGGGACGAATTATTTCCTTGGCACTCGGGACATTACTGCCGCTCCGTTTCTCCTCGACGAATAAAACGTCGGACCCGACGAAAGAAAATAAATAGAGATGATGCAACTCGACTATCGAACGAAGAAAAAACGAGGAAAGAGGGAGGCGAGGAAGAAGGGCTGGAGGAAGAGTCCTTCCGGAAATTGATCGGGAGATCGTAAATATTTGACGAACCGGGACGAAGTTTAATTAAAATTCGCTATTTAAATATTCCACGGGTTACAAAGAAATTTGCGGGGGAAATCAACCTCAGCTGGCTTCCACGGTAATTTGTTACTCTCTAGCAATAGTAGATCGATTTTTATTTTTATTTCCTCTTATTGTTTTTCTTCTTGAAGAGATAGTGGAGTGGATTATGGTAAATAAAAAATATAAAATTAATTTTTTATAAAGATGAGAGAATTATTAGTAGGCCTGTCGATTTAAAACTGATCCAAGAATAATATACGAATATAACGAGTTAGCAGAAAGTTTAATTAAAATGTCTCATCGAGATGATTAGAATTATGATAAAAAACGACGGGGACTTAAATTGTCGAAACGTTTTTCAGAAGGAAATTGATGGTTTTTGCAGGAAAGAAGCATTCTTATCGATGATCGATCGATTTCCTATGTCGAGCTCCATTTAATGCTCGTTTAGTCCTTTCTCTTGGGAGGTAATATCCGGGAAAAGCAAAATCTAAGATGGAAATGTACGAACGTATTGCTTTTTATAAATTTTATTAAAATCCGAAGATAAATTTTTCGTTCGTAACCTATAAAGTAAAATGAAGAGAGTTTACTATTTATAATTGATAGAATGAAAAAATTGAGAAGCACTCAAAATTGGCCTCCTCATTCATTTCGTTTCTCAATTTATATCGACGATGTGGGTAGGTGATTTCGCGCACTGTTAATTAACACGACCTATTTAAATTGGCCCACAACGATCCTCCACTGACCCAATTTTCTGTTCCACCTGTTTACCAATCGGACAACTCCAAATCTATTTGTACATATACGAACAAGTACAATTTCATTTGTTTAACTAATAGGATTGACCAAAACGTCTATTCTATTTGCATCAGTATTTATTCAATTTTGAAAATTTTCTAAATTAAAAATCAAGCACCCAATACTGAAAATACTACATCGAGGGTTAATTATAGTCTTATTAAAAATTAGTTAGTATGTAATAAGATTTCGAAATTGATTTTATCCATACAATTAAACTCCAATATCGAATACGTTCGCCGGCAATAATTCCATAGCTTTGAAAATGAATTCAACCTTCTTGGACTAATTGGAACACGTTCATTACCGTGTCAATTATTCCATTCAATTATCGAGGCCGTGTAGGAACCGAGATTGAAACATAAACGTAAATTACAGACTGCTCTAATCGTACGCGGTTGTATTCTGCCGGCTTCGACTACTTTCCACCCTGAAATAGGTACCGTGCTCGCAGCTGTTTCCAACTCGATTTTCGTGAATGAAACTATTCGTCGACAATAATGGAAACGTCTGAAGTAACATTCAAGAAGGTCTTACGCGAGAACAAGAGCAATTAAAATAAACTGGCAATCCTGGAAGTGTGACGCTGCTTTTATATTTACTTTTCTTATACAACTATAACAAGTTGCTTTTATTATATAACTGAAGTTAAATGTATCATTTTTAAACCAGAGAATTTCATATATTGGAAAAGTAATTTTTCAGAAAATCCTTTTTCATATAATGTAACTATTAGAGAAATAAGATTGCTCGATTTTCAGGAAGATGCAAAAACAAGTGGAAAAGTGATTTGATTGATTTGCATCGGACTCACCTTTTCCTTGTCACCGACGTGGATCAGCAATTTCGCTTTACCTTCTTCCAGATAGATTTGCAGTCGATCTGGGCTATTCTCCAAGCTAGTCGATAAAAGCAGTCCACGTGGTCGGGTCGTTTTGAAACGAACCACCACTTCTTCAGCTTGAGTCTTCGAATCCTCCGGCATTAGGGCCGTCATTTGCTGTGTCCCGTTTAGATGCAATGTTGATGCATCTGAAAAAAAAAAAAAAATCACCAAGACTTCTACTTATTGCAACTTCTGTAGGCAACCTGGGTCGCTTATGTCCACAACTAAGCTTTTAACTATTCTTGGCTTCTGAAAAATTTGAAAAAGTTCTAGGACGTTTATTCATAGAATTAGATTTACCTTTTCCACACGTAGGACCTGTAAATGGTGTTCCAGTACAATCGCAGTGAAACCTGTTCCATCCCTCGAGACAATGACCACCATGCATGCAGGGTTGCGAAGAACAGTGCGGTGGTTGAGAATGACAAGCTGGCCTGACAGCGCCTGCAAAATTGTACAAAGAAACGAAATTACGTAGACAGTGACAAGTGTTTCCATTTCGACAGAATTGTAGATTTTTAAATTTATTTTGAATTTGTTACTTTCTTTAGAAAGCTGTGCTCTTTTCGATTAAAAATTGATGATCAAAAATTAACACAACGCTGTATATTTAAATAGTAATATTTCATTTTTAATTAACAATGTTACAAATTTTTCAAATTTTTTCGATTTTATTAACATATAATTAATTAATTGCAAATAATAATGTTAAAATTTAAAAAGATCGTCAATTAGCTTCTTTAAAGGTCCATCATTACAATATATTTATTTAACGTTAAGTTTTGGAATTAACAAACCTAACTCAAGTTATATTTAAACAAAAATTAGTAACATTTTAAAAATACAGAATGTGTATGTAAGTTCCATTGTAAAACACGTTCTCTCATAAGCTGTGGTGTCCGAGTGGTTAAGGAGTCAGACTCGAAATCTGATGGGCTATGCCCGCACAGGTTCGAATCCTGTCCGCAGCGAAACTTTTTTTTAATGTTGAAAAATAACTTTTTCATGCTGATTTTTAATTCACATACATTTTAAATAATTTTTGTAATATCTAAATAATATTCAAATAAAAAATCAAACAATAACATTATTTCATAAACTCTTCGTTCCTACATCATATTGTAGCACCTATTGATTTCAATTCTGTTTCAATTTTTTAAATTATTTCTATATTAAAAATAAATGCAGCTGAGTTAAATTGAATATACATCAACTAAAGTAATTCTTTATTTAAATGTACTTTCTCACTGCTGAATGGCTATTACCTAACATTATCGGATAAAGTAATTATTATAGTAGATTAAGCAGTTTGCTTCTCAATAATGTCATCTGTTATTGTTACTGCAAGTTACAGAAGTGTAGTAGCTAACTCAATATGTTTTCAATAGGACGTAGACTGGAGAACATGGTAAACACCTTACGCGAAGAGCATAGGACTACAGTTTAAGTTAAGTCAATATTTTGTCACCACTTTGCATAAGATAGAGCTACAATATTGCGATGAACTGCATATCTCGCGTGATCGAGGATACGCGATATCATTAAAATTTTTAATCGAAAATTGCAAATTGAGAAAATTGAGCAAAAAATTCGAATTTTGCTAGAAAATAAGAAACATTTCCTTACCGGAGTCTTGTTGTTGAGCATATCCAGCAATATCGATTTGTTGTCCGTTTATGACAAGTTCTCTCATGCAACCGACGTAACCCTGTCTCAAGGTGCCTGTCCACAACACTGGAGGAACTGTTAAGGGTGCAAATGGAGCACCTACACCACCGATGTACATCAATCCATCGAGATCTAACTGGGTGGAATCTCCTGAAACAAAAAATTCAGCAACATTTCTATTTTATCTGTGTCAATATACAGATTTTTAATTATATTAAAAAATTAATATAATTTTTAAAAATATGTATCAGTATTGATGTCCCCTTCCCTTAAACTCCTATTTTCATAACCACTGAAAGGTTAGTACTTTTAATATTTAAAAATACAAATTTAAGAATTAAATGTGATGTACATTTTAAATAATGTGTGACTTGAAGAAGAAAAGACAAGCAAAGGATATTAGGCGAATGAATCTTATTTTCCTCGAGCAAACGACGCACAGAGAAGATAAGATGGGAGGTAAAACGAACAGGAGGGACGATGAAAAAAGAGGAAATACCGGGAGACACCGAGACAAGAAAGAAAGAAGATTGCAGTAAACGAAGAAGGACGAGCAACTCGCTCGTTGAAAATTGTTACCCACCGACAAGCGTGTAAAAGCTCTGCCGTAGGGTTGAACGGCTAAAATGCTCGACTTTCTAGAGGGCTGGTAATCACAATTTTCCAGATAAAATTTACGTCAACCTATTTTATTTTATACGATGTCATCTCTGGTAATCGTTGGATTACACTGCCTTTCGTTAATTGGATGTCTGTTTCAACTACATATCGTATCTATGTATATGATAGGAAATTTTCAATAATATACTTAGTAGCTTACCACCCAACTGAGAAGGGTTAAATTAATAATTTGTTGTAAATTACACAGGTGTTCGAAGGGTTAAATAGTAATATTCTCGCGCGCATTATAATCCTGCATTTTGGATAAATAAGCGTCACGTGCGGAGGTGCGATGCACCGCTATGCACCGCTATGCACCGCTATGCACCGCGAACACTGCACCAGTGATTCGACGGAAATGCTTCCGGCGTGATCAGCAAATTTCAAAGCAAATGGCTGTTTTCCAGAGCTAGCTTTAACAATTACGGATACACACGATGTTGTAATCGTTATTTGGTACATTAGAGTTTCACATAATTTTTGAACAACAAAAAGCATATTTCTACTTTAGCAATTTATTAAAGCAAAACTTATACGTTGTAAATTAAATTTTAGAATTTTAGCATTTAAACTAAAATTTAAAATAATTACAAATATTTTAAAAAATACATAAATTGATCCCTAATCATCATTAATATAATCAAAACTTCAAGAAACATTTGCTCAAAGTGTTTAAAGCGTGTGTGTAACATGGAATGTACACAAACTAGCACCAGACTAATTGCAAAGGGTTTGATCCACTTGTATCGGTTTTTTTTTTTTCTTTTTGCGTGTAAGGGATTGCACACGGTTGGCCCGCAGGGTGTGTTCACACTCGAAGAATTCGCAGAAACTCGTGAAACCGAGGTGATAGAGCACAGTTTTCAGTCGAAAATTGCTGAAGGGTTGGATTTCAAAGGCGAGTTTCACAGACAAATTAACTAGCCGTGTAATTCGACTGACCACGAAAGGCTACGTGAAAGTTCTGCTACCAAGGGGTAGAAACACAATACTCGAGAAATTGTAAATTTCGTTTACACGATACTAAAACACGTTAGTGAATACTGATAACGTTTACGGTTTGTTGAATTCGTGTTTTGAATGTATAATTTAATATTAATTAAGTATTTAAAATGAATAAAGTTTAATTTGATATTTTATGTGAATATATGTAAGTAGGTGCAATAACTATTCTACTTAAAAATTCTACTTTCTACGATCGAGGACACATAATTTACAGATTAATCCTACGGTAAGGTTACCATGAGTTACTATATTACAAAATAAAGTGTCAAGCGTATAAAGCTGGCTACCTATACGAGTATTTCTCGAGCAATCGTAAATCCAACCATCGCAAATGGCCAACGGATAAAACGCGCCACCGGAAATCGTTCGCAGCTGGAATTTAATGCCACCAGCCACGTTATATACACGCGTAAGAAATAGACGGTTACGAGGGAAAAAGATGGAAAAAGATGGAAAAAGATGGAAAAAGACGAAAAGTTTCCAGAAGAAGAACGTGATTTCTACAATGAACTCGAGCTTCATTATTTGAAATGGTAGATAAGGCAGCTCTTATTGGAAATTCTTCATTTTCCGTTTATTTATCGGTTTAATAAAGCTCTTCGTACATTGCAATTTATACAGGTCCTATTTCTTTTCCCTTTTGCTATTGATTTATCAAATATTTAAATAAGTTCAAGATTGAATCAAAAAAATGTTTCGAGCATTTTATGAATATAAGTATTTCAATTAATCGGATATAGAAAGGAACATTTTATCTGAATAACATGGCAATATTATTCTCGTTTCTCGTGGAAAACATGAATTACGATCGATCAATTACCATCGTCACGTGAATTCCGGCATGAGATAAGGGTGAGCAAATTTCCATCGCACGCACCCCTGTCTCCTACCGAGCGTAAAATGGACGATTCGACGAGGAAACACGAAGGCAGTAAAACTACAGGTATGTAGTATGTATAAAAAAGAAGAGGGGTAGATTTATTACATTCCACGCGTGGAACGGTTAGCTGCACCTGCAGATAAGTGTCCTCGAGTGTGTAACTCTGAATTATGAGTGGCTTGCTCCTCGACCCCGTACATTTTTCCTCCTTCATCGTTTACGTTGTCGAGCAACCGGACTCAGAATTCCAACTGTGTGTAGATTATATGATAAATGTCGTGCATCATCGTCGAACATGCTTTCAGATTAAGGGTACGATTAAAACTGCTTCAATGAAAGATGACGCACATTTGTGAAAAGGAAATCTTTGAAGCTAGAGAATTTTCAAGTATGAAGGAAACATTTTGGCCTACTAATAATTCAGACCTACCTTATTTTTATTATTATAGTTTCTTACCTGGTGTACGAAACTCCACTGTCCAGTTATCGACGGTAACACGCCCGTCTCTTTCGACTCGTCGAAGTGCTACATCGTGCCACGTGCCGTCATCGATCCGTTGTTTTGATGCCTTTACCTTGACAGGTCCGCTTCCGAGGTCAGCATGCAGATACAAATGACCGCCGAAAATTTCGAATGCAAACAAATCTTGCTGTAATATAAAAATAAAATCAAAGATAGAGCTATAAATACAATGAGCTATAAATCAAAATATATTTTATATTTTGTTAAAATATTTGTGCATGAATGGTATAAAAATAAAAATAAAAATAAAATCTCTCTGATGGTATTCAGATGGTAATGACGTTTATTTCGCGACCGATAGCCACGTATTAACATATGTACCTATTTGCAAATAACAAGTGGGAATCGTGTTGCAAACACGAAATACCAGGAATGAAAGCATTTATTGCCGGGATACGGCGATTCTGCTAATGAGCAAGCCACACGAAAGTTAACGAGAACTGGGTTTTCGCAACTTTTCGATTTATCTCCCTCCATTCCGTGCTATGGAATGCGGTGATTATCCCCGATTTGAACGCCTCCTTGCTTTAACGTTCAAATATAATTGTGGGAATTACGAGTCGGTATTGTTGAATCGAGATAACTACGAAACACGGTTGAAGTGGACAGAAATTTATTTCATGCGTGATTTTTCATTTACTTCTTGTACTAGAAACTTTACATAGAACCTCGTATTTCATACAATGAAGGCTGGACTTCATTTTACCATTTTCCAGCCATTTTTCCTTCTTCTTATATTGTATCAGTTTTTATCTTACCCTCGTGTGGGCTCCACTGCGGCTGTACATGATCAGCCCATTGGGTTCGTTGGTACGAATTTTGAAAGACATGCTGCCTGACTTGGCCGCCTTCCAAGGTGGCAGGACCTGAAACAGACCAGACAGAGGTCCCTTAATAGTTTGACTCTTGGCCATTGCCGTTACTTTTCGGTAAGACAGACAAACAGAAGACAGGAATAGTAGAAACGTGGAGAAAAAATGAGGATGAAAGAATCGGAAGGAAGAAGGCAAATCCCTCGACGTCCTGAAGAAGAATGGAGAACGGACAGTGTTGGCGGGCCATCGTGCTTGGAATCCAAAATTCTCAGCTTCCCCCTCGTGGACGACCAGTCCATTTATCATGCACGACGGCTTAAATAATCACGTGTCTCGTGTTCGTGGAATTTTTACTTCAATTTCGAAGCTGAACCGGGTCTCCGGTGAGATGGCTGATTTACGCTCGCTTACGTTTCCCGAAAAGTCGGGAAAAACTTTATCCAAACGCGAATCCCATCGCGAGAAATTCCTGTCTGACTGACGTGTCAAAAGAAAAATTTGCAAGAAATGTATCGAGTGTGTTCAGACTTTCTTTAAGAAAATTAATATATTGTCTTTTCGAGAGCTTTCAGTTCTTGTGTTTACTTTCGATGGTGTTTTAATTCCTCAGTGTTGAGCAAGATTAAGTGAAGTTATGTTTGCTTACGGTGTTATAGTATGTAAATAACGTTTACGAGGAAAATATTGCAACGGAGGATTTCTGGGTAAGTTACACAAAAATTTAAAAAATTCCAAAGTCTACGAAAAAATTAACAAGTATCGTTGACGATCAAAGTTGACTTGAATTCGCAAAAGAAGGATGGCGAATTTGATGAAAACAAAGGCAGGAAGAATAAATAACGGGAGTCTCGTTACCACGAGTTTTCGACTTCATCACGGAAATTGGCTCCGCTGTCACGAGGGCGCAATTACACTTCCTGCAGTCATGTTTCACCGCGAAACCGTTCTGAATTCAAAATTACCAACCCCTTGTGTTTCGAAAGACAATCGGTCCGCGAAGACAAAAGAGTTTGCTTTGCGGGGAAATTTGAAATACTTATGGAGGAGTCCTGAGGTTCTCATACCAACCTGTGATTTTTAAAAAGAATTACTGATAGTGATAAAATTCGAGATATTTATCAAAGTATAATTTTATATAGAATTAGCAGCTATCCATGGAGTATTCAGAATAAATAATCATTGACCAATCTTTGGCAATTGATCGATTTCGTGAATAAGGGCACCTTTTTAAAATTTCATTATTTCTTCTCATTTTTTGCTAGGTTCTCAGTTTCCATGGAGAGCAAAAAATACGACTATAGGAAAAGAAAATAGAACAAAGAATTCGACGAGCCTCTTCAAGCATACTGTTCGAACGATTAACCGCTGGAATATTGAAGCGTTTAAATGGCTGGAAAACGGGAAAGTAAACGTAATTGAAAATGAGAAAATTTTTCGACTCCTTAAGTGTTCTAGTAGTGAATAGAAAATTGTGTTTGGCAGTTCGTTCGTTAACTGAATATGGAAATTGATCCTTATCACATAATCTACGTAAAATGTGCGAGTTCAAAATACATTGAATTGAGAAAATTTAAAAACAATTAAAGCAAATATTTCATTTAAATCGAAAATGAAAAATATAGAAAAATAGAAGGCAAGAAGAAGGCCAAGTTGAATCAGTCGTCTATTTATCTTTCTGGTTGGTTTTTGGAAATTTCCAAAGAAAGAGTGGCTTGAAGTGTCGCTGGAGAGATCAAGAAGAAGAAAAAGAAGAAGAAGAAGGAGAAGACAGTGCAGTGAAAGGGCAAAGAACTGAGGAAACGTGAAACTCGAGAGAACGAGTCAGCTTCTATAGTTAACACGAATATTCTCTTCGTTTTCGTAATGAGCTCGTTATCTCCCTCGGAACGCTTATTAATTGCTTACCTTGTTAATTAGAAGAAAAATGGTCGAGCAAAAGGCAGCTTTCTTGTCCTTTTGTTCCACCTGTCACCAACGAGGAATTGAAATTTCGTTTCTACTTGCTTAATTTAAATGTAAATTTCTAATTGATTGCGAATAAAGAAACAGCAATGGCGGAAATTGTGATGGAGAAATTCTGCAAGATTTTATCACAATGACTGATGAAAGAAATATTTCTTTCGAAATTAATGGAATGTAATACTTTATATGTATAGTACATCGATATAAACCAGGAAAGCAGACATTTTGTAGAATTTCTAAAATCTAGAGGATCGCCACGATGAATCATAGGACTGATTCCACGATTCAGTGAAATCTCACGAATTAGCCAGGAATGAGAAATCTCGTTTAGACGAGGTGGCTATCCTCTATCCTGTCCTTTCACCCTCCTGCTTCTTCCACTCTGTTCTCGTTTACTTCCCCTCAGAAATTCGTCTGGAAAAGTCTGAACCGTAAAGTGGTGCTTCGCCGTGGAAAGAAGGATATTTCATCCCGAAACGGGCTCGTTCTTTCATCCCTCGCCCTTCGACTTTCTTCTTCCGACCATCCCTCTCGTTCCTTCAACAGTGACCCTCCCGAGAAACTCGCAGGGGTTGAAAGAACGGAGAACGAAGAAGAGAGTCAATTAGAAAAGTTAAATTACTTCGTGAAATAAATTATTTACTAATCCACGGCTATATCCTCTTCTAATCCTGGGTATTGAACCCGAAACACCATTTGATATACCACCTTTTTGTTTCCAGCCATTCGCTGAGGGTAAGTGAAAGATTTAATGGAGGAAGTTAAAAAAGATTTTTGAAGAAGTTTTTAGTTTTCAGAGGCTACGCCCCTTTCCTCTTTGAATATCAATATTCAATATGGATATAAATATTTTCTGAAAAAATTTTTACCGCAACCATTTGTTTAATAGTTCAATTAATGTTCGTTAAAATATTATTTAATTAAGGCCGTAAAATTCTAGGAATTAGCGATTTAAAATGAAAATTTTCCGAATGGTGATTGCGAATGAAAATCAGGACGACGCGACGTCGCGTCGCATGGAAAGGCCGGAACGAAAATTTCGAACAAGAAATTTCGCAAAAGCCACGCTTCCGTTGCTTCGAATTCGCGGATACGAATTCCGAACGTTTCGTTGGTGTACATACGTGTTGCTCGGTGAAATTTCAGACACCGTCGCGTCGCACCGAGGAAAATTTTAATTGAACGTCTGCTTCCCTGCTTCTCGTCGAAACCTCCGCCAAACTCTATCCAAATATGTAAATCACTGTTTGCCCATGAAACTTATCGTTGCTCTCGAGAAAATTTCGGCCCTGTTTACATTAGAATGCACCTGAAAATTTCGACTATTTCGAGATATGCAAATCGGTACGGAGTACCATGAATTCTCAACACCAAAGGGACCTTATCGTACTATCATCGATCTTCTCTAACGAGACACTGTCTAAATAAAATTACACTCATTTCATAATGGTCCTTAAATAGTGGATGAGAATAAATAAATTGCAGAGGTTTTAATTACAATTGACAAACTGGGAAAGTAACGTGAAAGTGCTTGATGAAATCCGTCAACTACCATGACCCAAGCGTTCTAATTAGAGTGAAAGATCAAATGTCCCTCTTAATTACTGTATAGACCAAGTTGCCACATGGAAAGAGGAACCACCTTTCGTGTTTGACGTTGAATACCTTCAAAAGAGATCCGTTGCCAGGTTACTTACGAGAGAATTCTTTTTCTCTGACCAACCACAAAAACCACCATCCATGAAAAGGATGACCGAAGAAGGATAATACAAAGAACGAGTCCCTAATATTTGAATAAGAGGGTTACTTTGAAAATAAAAAGATAAGTAATGGAAGTTGGTAGTGAAAATCAACAGAGATCGTTACCAGTATCGACAAGACGATAAAGATTTAGTTGGTCGACGTTTCGACTTGTGCAAAGATTTACGAAGGAAAGTGGAGACGAACGTTAATCTTACGAGGCGATATATCGTTTTATAGATCGTAAAATTCCTAAAGGGATCCGTAAATAGGTTTCATGAACGACGTTTTAGATATAATCATAAATGCTCCTGTTGAATCGGCCTTGCACCCTTCGCTCGAGGACGTCCAGACGTAAACTCAGCATTGTAAAATGGCTAATAACTTCGGTGCGAGAGACCATTTGTGCCAGAAATCCATCAAATAAAAAGAAAATGGAAAACAGACTTCCATTCCAGAGATTCAAAACTTTCGAGAAAATGTCTATATTTCCATTTGTCTATTTGAAAACTAGCTATAAACCCTTTTGTTTTAAATCTACATTCTTCGATTATATAAAACTCTTTCCCTCTTTTCTTCGCTTGTTATTTATCCACGCATTTTCGAATTTTGCCTGTAATTCCCAGTTACCTATATTACATCAGTCGCGTGGTTACTAGGTGCTCGTTAAATATTCATGTAACGTTTCCAGCGAATATCCATCGAGCAATCTATACGGGATTCTGGTATGTTCACCGCGTGAATATCCGAATATCCACATGATATCACGAAGAAAACATGTCTTGCAAGGATCATAAGTATTACACCTCTAAAAGCACCACGTTGAATGTAGTATTACACCTAAACCTGCTATATTTTAAAGAAACTATATTTTTGACCAAACTGACCTAATAAATCAGTTAATAAATGAGCCTACACTATATACATGATAAGATTTTTCATGAACTTAGCTTTTTTACTTTCAAACTCGTGTTGTTGAAGAAAACAAAGAAGAAAAAAGAATCTCGTGAAATATGACCGGCTGATCTTACGTGTAAGCACATAGATCATGATCAGCAGGGAATATCTGCCAACCTACATATATCTGTAGCTTATTACGTTACTCGATCCATGCGAATTTCTGCTGAATGAAGACGTGTCAGGGTGTCGTTAATATCAAGAGTCTGCTGTCGCGGTGGAACGTCTTCTTCGAGAACTGCCAAGCGATTAAGGTCGATGGTATATATCCGTTGACTGATTAATCTTCGATAAGGTGTCGATAGAAATTAGTAACGGATCTTTGCAAATAAATGGCACACGGAATCGGATATGACTTGAAATATCCATAACTGACAATTAACAATAAAATATCGAGATTCGAAATTGATGCTAAATAAAATTAAATAACATTTAAATGTAAAATGTAAAAAACAGAAGAAACCTATAAATTTAAACTAACCAAAAAAATATACCAAAATGGTTGCTTCATCTCTCGACAAAATTTTCACAAGTTTTACACACGACTAAAGTGACCTTTCACAGGGATGAAATTTAGAAGGCTAATCCACTCTCTTCTTAACCCTTATAAGGTACATCCTTTATATGGCTCTCGATGTACATCGAGCCTTTACGTGTATTCGCTCGGAAACTGTCGAAGCAAAGTTAGCCCACGAGTTGCAGAAGCACAAGTTGCTCTCGTGCAACTTGAGAGTTTCCAGCTTGATGCGTTACGTTATAGGTCGATGCATAACCGCAAGGAACTATATCACGACCCATAACCTGTCATTTTGTTAAAACTAACCTGGCCATCGAAATTTCTCTTGGCTTCCTACGGCGCGGCGTAGGGAAATCGATTTCATCTGCAGATACTGGATCACGTTTCGAAGCGTGTCTCATCTAGCAGAAAATTGAATCTATCAGTTGTGTTCTTTGAGGACTTTCAAGATTTTCTTTGTAATATAGAGTGTATAAGCTATTGACAAGTTTGTCGCAGCTGTACCTAAGTTACAGCAACGTTACGTGATTAGTAGAAGTAAGTAAGTACAGTCTTCCCTAAGGAAAATGGCGATTTTAATTATAAATATTACAAAAAGAAGAATAATTTCTATTTACATATTTTTTCACAAGATATCACCATTTTCCTCGATCGTATTTTTTCATACCTTGTATATTCAAAGTTATACTTGGTGTTTTCTTACCCAGAGCCCCACCGTGGCGCAGCTGCGCGAAAATTACGATATTGGTGTCGTGGTTACACGAGGCCATTGTTGCACCTCTAGCTCTGTAGACGAGAATTTAGAAAGCGAGCTTATTCGCGAGGTGAGAGCAACAAAGGGTTTGGTGTACGTCTCTTTTGTGTCGCCTGTGACTATATGTGTATGTACAGTCGGTCAGAAAAAGTCTACATACCCCTTATAAATATAAACTATTATAGCAGATACGATGTATCTAAGAACTTTTTTTCTTATTGAATATTATAAATTGAGAAATATTTTTAGAAGTTCCATAATTGTGATAACATTGTGGATTCGCAACTTAAAAATTTTAAATTTCTCTAAAAATAAGTTAATATAGGTGTATGCAGACTTTTGTGATCGATTGTACTTGTGTAGGTGTGTGGGTGGGTTGGTGGGTGGTTAGGTGTAGGGTGAAACGATGGTGAGACGAGCTGAATGGATCCCGTTAGTGGAACGTCGGGGCCGGAAGTCCAAATTTCTTTGATGTTCTCGCGATGGTCGTCGATGCACGGATAACCTTATGCACACTCCTCCCGTTGCTGGAAAACGATGATGACCCAGCGACATTTCATATTCTCATTCGCTTTCAACGGGACACTCGTTCCAATCAAGATTACTATAATTTATCTGAACTCTTTCTCTTTGTACTACGAAGAATAATTTTTCTTTTTTCACCCGGTATCTTTTGAATTCGATATTTTCCTTCGATTATGTTACCTACTGTAATTTGATTTTTATGCTTTTCGATCGAGTTTAACGAACGAATTGATTCTGTTGTTAGCGGTTTCAGCTCAAAGAGATTCGTTAAATTACATTTAACCCTTTGACGACGAGATCTGATTTGTCACTGAATTGAGGTTTATTACGTTCGAGATCTCTTGCTTTAGTAAATGAACATTATTAGCTTTTGAGAAGAATTAGGATTGTGAATGTACACTCGTGATCAAATCAGGCTACCTCGGGAAAAATAATCCTGCTTTCCTGCTTTCCCAATATCGCTATCTTACCTAGGAAAGCCTGTTTTTATTGCGAGTGTACATTAAGTCGAATAAAATTCTATGAACGTTTATCTGTTCTCGTATATCATTCTCCTAAATACCGTCGTCGAGCGATTAAATGTACTTTTTCATCAATAAATCATCCTACTGAATACCATCGTCAAGCGATTAAATGTAATTTTCCTAATGTACTCAAACCACTGTGTGTATCTCTACCATGAATATCTCTCATATCTCATTTTCCTACCATATATATTTTTTTTTTTTTTTTTTTTTATTCTTTTATTATCGTGACACGTCCCTGTTCCAGTAGAGTTCTCAAAAGCAAATCAATCGTCGTCGGTCACGAAGGCAGGCATGGTATCGTGTCGCGTTCATTGAACGCAGCCGTTTCCGTCCTGAAAGAACAATTAGACGTAGATTTTGTTGCGTCAACATGCAGGCGGTGCGATATATTCGTTCCGTTTCTCTTTCCTCATGCATTTCAGTGCATCGAGCTAAAGGCAATTGTCAGACGTTCATTAGTCGCTCATTCCACGAGGCATAGAAGATGATTTCATGAAATGACTTTCTAGCCGATCAACAGAGCTTCACGTTCGCGATGACTCTACGTCATTAACGTCACGACTAATTAACCGGTAGACTAAACGAGCTATTCCCGAGAAATCCATTTAATACGTCAAATTGAACTTTCTTTTTCATTTTGGAAATTTTATAAGATTGAAATGTGCAATTACGAGAGTGTAATTTGATGTTATTTCTTTTTGGATTATTTTTGGAAATCAGTTAACGCAGGTCTGTTCATGAAATGCCCTGAATGCTTAGAAGGCTGTGATTTGCCTTGGAAGTTGAAGGGCAAATTCTTGGGCAGACCTGACAAGGAGAGAGAGCTTCAACTTTGGATCGCTAATTTTAATAAAATTTTGAGAAAATATGATAAGTTCCTTTACCATTACTGTCAAAGTAACTGAATTTGGTATTTTGGCTCATAGAAAATTTCAAAATCGAGCAATTAAAATATTTTCAATATTCATAAAGAGGAAGAAGCTTATTATATTTGATAAAAATTTCATTAAAATAGACGATTCAAAGTTGGTACCATCTTCGTTTTTAAGATGCAAACGCGACGACGATGATTACGATGATGACGTAGGTAAGATCGGTGATCGTGATAAGTGACAGTGATGACAATAACGAGAGGAGCGAAGATTATTGCGTGCATGTGCAGTGACCAGTGGTGTACCTATAAAGGCTAGCTTTAGATCGTGAGCATAGAACCCCACGCGTGAAAAACTATATACAAATCGTGACAGACTTCCTAACCATTCCACAAGAAAGCTTGCGAGGAAACGATGAAAAATCAGTACGATATTTATTATGACAAATGTTAATTTGTCATTTCTAGATTAGCAGGTTTTGGAACTCGAGCAGACTGGAATTTACAAATTCAAGGGTTAACTTGGAAGGGTTAACCACAGTCGACTAGTCGGGCGCACAGAAATTCGATCAAAAGACATTCTACGGAAAAATTCCATCTGCTCAAGTGTACTCTCCCATCCCCGGAAGTTAACCTAGTTGCCTGGCTGTTTGATCATTCGAGTCATTGAGAAGCAGCTGGCTCGTTCCATAATCGTGGAACTGGATGGCAGTTCCATACGAACTGGAAACTTTTCCACCGATTTCCCATCGTTTCCATCGCGCCGCGGGTCTCTCTCTTTCTTTCTCGACCAAAAAAAAAAGAGAAGAGAAAGAGAAAAGAAAAAGAGTGGAAGAGAGTGGAGCAGGGTGTACGTGAGTGGTTCGTGAAGAAAAGTTGGTGCTTTGGTGATCGCTCCTCGCTAAAAAGCTAAGTTTCGCGTGAGAGTTAGCCAATTACATATATATCTATATATATTTTATATATATATCTCAAGTATATATATAATATATATAACAGGTGCGTATCAAGTGGCTGGGCGAATCAGCTTCGAAGAGAGCTCGCTAAGCTCTCTGATCGTTTATTTTTCTTGCTCTCTCTTTTAGTACGATTTCTTTAATTTTTTTTTGTTTTTTTTTTTTATTTTTTTTATTTTTGAAAGCTTTTTGATACTGAGGCTTACCAGATGGGACTCTGGGCTGGTGAAGGTGACCACAGCGCCGTGAAGTCGCCTTGCACTAATCGTCGCCGAAGACTTCTTAACACCCGTCGTGTGGGTCCAATTGAGTGTGTCAGGCCCGATTTTCGACCACGACCACGAGGGCAATAGACAGCAACATTGAGAATCGGTTTTAGACATTTTGCTTTATCAATTGATCCACGAAATTCCTTCGCTTACGATTCATAAATTTTTATTTATTGTTCGGAGGAAGTTTGTCTATTGATTTACGCGACTCTCGGATTATTTCTGAAGGGAGATTTTGATTACAGTAACGCGTTCGCGAAAGGTTAAATAATTTTCTGGAAAAGAAGCTTGATTAGTTATCTGGTAGCGAGTTAGATGGCACCTTCTGATGGATTCTATTAAAATTGTAACAGGATTATTAGTGTCTATGGATTTATAACTAATTTATATAACCTAGAAAGAAAAGAAAATTATTTTTCTTATGCTATAAGTGGGATATTAATGTTTATACGGGGTTGTAAAAGTTTCTGGAAATGGAATTATTTTCATTGAGAAACTGTAAGAGTTTAATGTTTAAAAAATTATTGTATTCTTATTGAGAATTCTTGAAATATACAAATATATTTTTTATGGTATTTTACAGTTTCTCAACGATAAGTATTTTAACAAGAAAAGAATTGTAAATTTATAAATCTTGAACATTAGTTGCATTCGACATTTAATAAAAGCTGTTTGCGTTACGATTTTTACGCGAATCTGACTTTAAGAAATGGCAAAACGGTACAACTCTATAAAATAAAATAATTTAGTAATCCTACCTATAATCTTTCACAGTGAAAATTTAAAACATTATATATCAACTTGATGACGTTAAATGCAAATAATTCAGACAAAAAGCAGCAGATAAATTGCAAGCGATTTTATTGCATGAAATAAAGTTCTCTTTTTTAATAAATAAACGAATGTGACTGGTAATCCTCGTGACGGCCATATCGAATATGTAATTATACTTGCCGAGTTCGAAATTGGATATTAAAAATCGATATGCCGTTGAAGTAAATGGTAATTACACAGGGAATTTTGTAATGTAACGAATGTTACGTTGGAAACACTCACAGCCTGATTGAAACGAATTGTTATTACGTGATTTGCAATAATTTTAATCAAGTCAAACATGTACTACTTAGATATTTCTAATTGATTCTTCTTATGGTTGTCGCTTATATGCAGCGTTACCAGATCTATGAAATAAAAGAAAAATAAAACAATTAATGGAAAGCAGGTTTCACCGTCGAAATGACAAATGAACAACATCGGATTACAGTTTCATCCGCTGTGTTCGTGAAAAAATAAACCTGCGAAAATCAGTTCGCCTTTTTCCCCTCTGGTTAAACGATAAATGAAATGGTTCGATATGAGATAAAAAGTGGCGTGAATCGGTGCATTACCACGATTCATATTGTCCAGATACGCGTAATATTGATTAATAAAATACGAACGATTGTTCTGCGTACAGAGATTCACCCTGCAATGTAGTATATCTCGGCTCTTTTTTCCATTGTTTCACATGGACTTTTCTTTTTTCCCTGACAAACACATATTTGTTCGATCGCCATTTCTTTCTTTATTATATTCAGCTCTACGCTTTTTCTCGTGTCCCCAACTTTGTCATCCTCCTTTTATCTTTAACTGCTTCGGTATCTGTATTTGTAGTATATTATTTAATTAACAATAAGTAAAAAATGTATAAAGTATTTCTTTAAGTCAGACATTGCTAACTGGAGGCCCAGCAGTCATATCCCTGCCCACTAAAAGGAATGATCCCCCACCATGAAGTAACGGGCCCAGTGGTTGGACGCTTTTCTTGCGTCCGATTGGTCACAGAGCTCAGAATGGAACTGTCTCGCTTCGTTATTTTCAGCGAAAGCGTATCATTGGCCGAAGCGATTACGTCTAGTACCAATTAGGCTCGTGTAAAACGAGGGAGCTGACAGTGTGTGGGGAGATCCCCCTCTTGGTGCCTCGTGGCGCTGTACCGCCTCAAGTGCCTTGTCTGACGATGAGGTAAGCTCTCAATAGCAACAAATGGAATAATTTTCCAGCCAACGAAAACTTGAAACGTGGTTAAGTTTGTTTTAAAGTTCGAAAGCTCGATGAAGGGTAGAACGTTGCAAGAATCTTAGAAGCGTCGTGTCCTTGCATCCTCTTAGCGCATTAAGGATCGCGTCATAAATATGAGAGTGCACGCATCGTGCTCGAATACACGCAAAACTTTGTCGAGGAACTTGTGCATCTTCGTTACTTAGACCGTCGTCAATCTTTGTCAGTTGTATCAACAAATCCCTTTGCTGCTGTCAGTTCAGATTAACGGGATACATGGCGAGAAACATGAAAGTGCTTCTATTTATTCAATATTATTCAATATTCTAATATTCTACAAAGTTAATTGATAACGTTTTTTTGTTTTACATTTAAAGGGTCAAGGTGATCTTTTTTCTTTTTTAGAATCATTCTATATGTAATTGAAATTCTCACGAAAGGTATGTAAAGCGCATATTTCTATTCATATTTCTGTGCACGCGTAGCCACGACACAATCGGTCACGAAATCCTGAAAAGTTCCAACTGTCCCAACGAATAAGGCTTACGTGACGTGACAAAAATATTCGTGAAAAAGTATCGAAATTATTTTAAAATTTAAATGAAACGTTTCTGAAATTCATAGAGCCACGTTTATTAATTCTTTACCATGAAATGTGCTATCAAAAGTTCTAAGAGTGTTAATGCCCCAAGTGCCATTTTCGACTTCGACTTCGACTTCGACTTCGACTTCGACTATCCAATATGCAACCACGTCGGTTTTGAAGTTTACAATCACGAGACGGAATCAAGCTACGGAGGAGAAGTAACACGAATGACCCCGTAAAAATGTTCCCCGGAGAACAGGAAGAAACGGCGCAACCGTGTACAATATTTCGTAGCACGTACGTCACGAGCTCGAGCTCGTTCGTTACGTAACAGCTGCAGCCTGATAATGAATGTGAAATACAGGCGAGCTGAGTTACGAGCCGTTATTGCAAGAGCCCGCAAAATGCTGCCCATACATTGGCGAAACACTTCACGCGAACCGTACGTAAGAAACCTCGACGAGAAATAACGTATCGGTTGACGATATGATCGATGACCCATTTTCGCCATTAAAAGAAACACGGACACCTAAGTAAGTACTTTTTCGAACGACTATTTTAGAAACTGTACAACGTATTGCAACGTGTTCAAGTAAGTTATTGAATCTGACCAATCCCTGTCGGATGACCGACATTATTGTAAAAACACTATTAGAATTTTTCTACTTCAAATTTTCTTTAATTTCTTTCAATTATTAAACTATATTAAATTTGTTATATTTCATATAATAACGCCAATAGCTTCCACGTATTTTAAAGAAGAAATTATTTTTAAAAATTGCAATTCAAAAGTAATTTTGAAAACAAATGATACCAGAGAAAATTCAGTCCGTAGACGTGGTGTTTATGAATATTAAGTTTAATGCGAATTGTTTTCGCGTGGAGCATAATTCACTTGTACAGGTGTAAAAATTTTTTGAAAATTGGGTTTTCGAAGAGCGTTCGCACGAATATGTTCAATTTATTGTTTCGCAACACATTAAAACGAATATTGCTCTGGTAATTTGTATGAAATTCAGAATCTGAGAGAGAGAGAGAGAGAGATGTTAATTTCGTGTGTTTGGGTAAATGGAGACAGTCGGTGCGGTAATGTTATTATACCAGATCGTAAATTGTTAAACTTATATTTCTCTCTGTATTCATGTTACTGTATATTTAATGTATAATATACTATATTGTATGTTCTATGTACTATGTTTACAGATTAATGACCGAAAGATTGACACAAGTTTAAATCATTATCCATAATTTAAAGTATTTAAATTTAAGTTAAGGAATTTCTAATAATAATATGCCTGATGAGTTCCTACGACTGAAATTCATCTATAAGATAAATGACATCATTTCCAGGATCACTCGATAGTTAAGGAGAAATTCAATCCTTTCGATCCTGCGAGCGAAGATCAGAGGAAGCACGTGGTAGAAATGGAAACGGTTATGGTTAGGTGGCGCACGGCACGACGAATATCATTAAACGTAAATTTCCTGGCAAGAGCTCGTGACGGAAGTAACGATACACGGAAATATGTTGCGTGAAATAGACGGTGGCGCGCGAACTATGCCATTCGTTGCTCGTCACGTTTAAACCGATTTCATTTCGAGTTTTGCGAATGGCAAGAGTATTCAAGGATTTCGGTATTTCGCGTGGAAACAGTGAAAATTGTCACCGTGGTATTTCCACTGCGTTTCACCGTCAACCCTCTAGAACACGGTGTAAATACTACCGAGACTACGGAATCTCAGGCTGAAAATAAAAGCGGAAGAGATGCTTTATACGAGTGCTGCGTCGAGTACTTACTGTTTGTTAATGATGAATTGTAACGTTTCTGAATTTTTTACAATATACACGAGTTCCAGTCAAGAAATAAAAATAATTTGTTCAGAAAAAATCCTCGCTTTCTTAATCCTCGGATGGTAGACCACGAAGAGTGATCCAATATGCAAAATAGTTTTTTATAATGTTTAATTTAATACAAGGTTGTTAAAAAATATATCTCTGATGAATTATAATGTCTTACAGTTTAAATACCTCAGATTGATGAGCGAAATTAACATTGCTGTACTTTTTCTTTAATAAACAACTGAAAAATATAACAGAAGTATTAAGAGTAAATGTAAACGACGACACTTGAAAGCGTTTCGTTAATGAACGTTTTTAATTCGAGGTAAAGAAAGAAACAGGGAACGATTGAAATTAAATTGAACACGTTTTTCTGACAGGAGAGACCTTTTCACAAATTTTCTTTCATCCTTGATTTCCTTCATGTCGGTTGTTGTTCTTTTAAGGTATTCAAGGTATTCAAGGAATTAAATGAGTAGTATAGTTTTACAGCACGGATTATGCAGCGTTTATCACTTAAAATCATTTTAGTACTTTTCAGAGTAG